ACAGCATGGTGCTGGAGGATGGAGTGGTACTGTTCCTTCTTCATGATACCCTTTACTTCAAACAAATCTCCTACTCCATCACCTGCAAAACATCCCCATACCATGGAACTACCACCTCCATGCTGAATTGTGGGTGTAAAACATGGTTCTTTCAGACGTTCACCAGTTTGCCTGCGGACATAGACTGCGTTTTGAACCAAACAGTGCAAACTTGTTTCTAGTCATCATAAGTCCAATTTTTGTGAGCTTTTGCCCACTCATATCTCTTTTTCTTGTTCTGTGGACGAAGTAGTGTTTTTTGCAGATACAGAACCCTTCAGACCAGCCTTTCTCAAATGTCATTTCACGGTTGTCAGAGATATGGGTTTCGACCTTGTCATGTTGATTTCCTCCCTTGTTTTTGGTGCTGTCTTTCACCGATCTCTCTTACTGGTGACAATGCTATGTTTATCCTCTGCTTTTGTAGTAACTCTCTTTCGTCCAGGTCTTTTTCTATCATCAAAACTTCCAGGTTCCTCTCGTCTCTCCAGAGTGTAGTGGACTCCTTTGTTAAACACTTTTAGATGTTTTGCAATTTCTCTCTCTGTGTATCCTTCTTTTCTCAATGTACAAATCTGTACTTTTGTTTCTATACTCAGTTGCTTCTTTCTAGCCATTTTTGCGGAAGTTTGAACGCAGTTGAGATTTATTAGGATTTTTGTATGCAGACTCTCAAAAGCCAAAACGTTGAAGTGAATAACCAAACTGTGATTTTATTTTATTTTTTTGCTTTTGCACTGAAGTTGTGACTCTTGCAAATGTTTTCAACCCTAAAACTAAGCCCTTATCTTTTGCTGACATATATTTAGCAATGGTCTGTTAACATCAATGTATATCTAAAGGTAAACGGAGTAAAATGGTGCATTTCCATGAAAGCAACATCTGATCATGGAGTAAATACATCCCAAAATACATAAAACTCATGCTGGATTTTAAAAAAAAGCATTGTGAACAAAAACTTGAAGTTACTCCCAACTGTTCGGCCTGTAATGGCCTTGCTTCCAAACTTTTGACCTGTAGTGTAGTCATGTTGGGTACCAGTTGCAAAGTAACCCAATTAGGTAGGAGATGTTACTCCAGGAGCCTGATCTACTAAGATCCTAAATAATGAGTGCTAAATTGCATGTTCAAACTAAAAAATACATGTGCTATTAGCGGGCGTGTTGTGGGTGACCTACTGTGATTGCATGCGCAATTGATAACACGTGGTGGTGCAGACTGCCTTATTGATATGAGGATTTTGCGTGCGCTAGTAGCTGTCACCATGGAGAGTTTGGGAGAGCATAGTGGCTCTAAACAAAAAAATGTAGTTTGAAACCATGGAGTTGCATCTATCGTTCTAGAGAAGCCAGCAACTGAATGAAAGGCATGTTTTGTGTCATTTACTGCATCCCGAGTGTGTGGGAACTGAATATACTGGCCCTGCATCACAGAGCAACACTTGGGACAGCTCACCAGAAAAACAACCCTGGGAGACGCACTAACTGGGATGGTGCACTGCAATGATCCAGATGCAGAGAGGATGCAGAGTTGCAAGGAGTTTATCTACAGGAGATATCCTTTTTGTGACTAGATCCAAATTAGCCCAACATTTTTTTGCAATTACAACATACAACGTTTCTATTTTCATCTTTGCTCACAAAGATAACTTACATTTAAGCCTAGATTTAGTTTCACTGATGAGTCATGTCTGTTTCTATCGCAGTGCCACCTGAGATCATCAAGATCACACCCATCCAGTCTTGTTTTCTCAGCTTAGTGTCCAGATATTCCTCCATATTCTCTGAATATTTCATTGGTATTATGTAATCCAGATGTTGGATTCCACAAATTCTTTGCAATTTTACACAGGAAAGCATTATTCTGACGAAACGCAGTCATATCCAGTTCACACACATCCAGTTAGTCCAGGCTTGTTTCTCCATGTATTTCTTTAGTTACATTGCACAGCTTTTCTGTTTTCTTGAAGACTTAAAGAAAACCATGACCTGAATGAATGAGAATCTACATGGGCACAGCTTTTCTGTGTTTTTTGTCCCTGTCCCACTTTTTCTGACACTCATTACTCATTTCAAATTTAAACAAACATATAGTTTTCAGAAACTTTGATACTTTCTCATTTAGTGTTTGATATCTTGTTTTTGCACTTTTCTTCAACAAAACAAATGGTTTCCATGATTTGCAAACTTTTTTTTAAATCAAATTTTATACAGGATCCCAATAATTGTTCTGACTGAGGTTGCATAAACGGATTGCTATGCTACCTTAATACTCACAAAAGGCCTCTGTACAGTACCTGTATAGGTCATCAGAGGTAAAATTGAAGGCATGGTGCCACCCACAATAGAACCGGTTGGGTGGTGAACCAGGCTCGGCTTCAGTTAAAGGCTCAGGCTCTGAGAGAAAAGGCGTACTTCAACAAATATGCTGCTTTAAAAAGCCAGAGCCTACAGCTAATGGCACTACAATAGAAACAGACACGACTCATCAGTGAAAATCAAAACCTAGGCTCAAATGTTAATTATCTTTGTGAGCAAAGATTGAGAATAGAAACGTATTACAACCCTTATTGCAAAAAAGATGGAAGACTGTAAAATATTGATAAGAAAAGATTTTCAGCTGTTTCTCTGAACTGTCAACCAATTTCATTTCCCACAGAGAAAGGACCGGTTAGACTCCAAAACTGTCTGCACAAAAGTTCTACTGGCTTCTTCTTTTTGTGCCCAGATTATATTTCTCTACAGGGGAAAATAGTGTCCTGTTTAGGGGTCAGTCTGCTACTTCTACAGGCATTGACACCAGGGGTCCGTTTCACATAGCAGGTTTAATGGAAACTCCGAGTTTGTTAACCCTGAAATCAGGGAAACTCTGAGTTTTCCGTTTCACAAAGGAGGGTTAGTTAAACCAGGGATAGAGGGGTAACTCTAACCTGTTTCACAAAGAGAGGTAACTCAACCTCGCGGTCAGTTACCACAGTAACAGACTCCGTGAACCTAACCTGCTCGGGAGCAGGTTTAACTCAGTAAACCCAGAGTTTCAGGTGAGAGATCGGCATTTTTCTCATTTTGATCAAGGTTTATTTTGTCAAATAAATGTTAAGTGGCAGTTTGATCCCTTCAAAAATGCTCTTTTCACACTCAAAACTGAATTTTACTCTCTTATGATGTTCCGTTAAATGATTAGGAATTTAAACTAACACAAAAACGGGTGGTGGTCCAGCAGCCCCACCTTTAACGGAGGCAGAGGAGCTGCCCCCCCCCCCCCCCCCCCCGGTCCGATCGCAAATCCCCCCACCCCCCCAGACACACACGCCAGTCCGACAGCTCCTCTGCCTCCGTTAAAGGTGGGGCTGCTGGGACACCACCCGTTTTTCTGGCATCTGCCCTCTTTCTGTTTGCTGAGTGAAAGTCTAATATTGAGTGTAGTGTGTGTTAGTTTAATATATGTACATATACATACTGAGAGCTAGTTTAATATTCCTAATCATTTAACGGAACATCATAAGAGAGTAAAATTCATTTTTGAGTGTGAAAAGAGCATTTTCTAAGGGATCAAGCTGCCACTTAATACTTACTTGACAATGTAAAACATGATCAAAATGATTCAAGCAGTTTCCCTGCAACAGTCTGTCATTGTGATTGCACGAGACTAGATTTAAAGTTACGCATTGACGCGAGCAGCGATTTCCTCCCAAGCCCTCTCCCTCTCCTTTGCAGCTGCTGCTGTATTGCACTTTCTTTTAAAAACGTGCTGTAATTCGCTGTTGGCTCGCTGCTGCCCCCTCCTTCTCCCTGTTTCTATTGGTTGATCATTGAATCTGTGCTCCACAGATGCTGGCTGTTTATGTCTGGCGTGCACGTGCTTAACTCCAGAGCTGCGTCCGAATTGCCAAGTAGTAGTCGAAGTAGTAGTCGAAGTAGTATCTAGCATGTCCGAATTGGCCACCGGAGCGAGTAGCATGCTACTTCAGATACTACTTCAGATGCTAGACACGCCCACATTGTAGGTTGGTCTCGGTGCATCCTACGGGCATGCTACTGACCCAAAATGCACCGCGGGCTTCTTCTTCGTCCTCTTAAAAGTTGTAGAAGCGCATGTGATGCTAGCGCCACCAGCTGCTGCCTATTTAGATGCGTCGCGAACGCCGGCTGGCCACAGCAGCGCGCACCATGTCGGAGCAGCAGCAGCAGCAGGCGGGACCGCAGCAGTACAGATGTAAGTTTCATGTAACTTCACACACTGTCCTAAAAAATGTGCGGTTGTATCTCTTTGTCATGTCATGGTGTCATATTTTCCCAAGTAATCATTTTATGAGCAAGTGGCGACATCATGGAGGTAAAGCTCACTTATTCCATCATTAAACTGCACAGCTGCAGTACTACAGCCAGGCCCACAGATGAAGGGCTTCAGTTACCACTGTCTGCACGGGCGCAGTACCTACTCTCTGCCTGCGGGGGTCGTCTTTCCCCACCGCTCGTCTAGTGTGTCCGAATTGGGCCAACGTTTTTAGTATGTAGGAGTAGGATCTAGCAGTAGCACGTAGCAGTAGCATGTAGTATCCGAGCGGGCAGTTCGGACGCAGCACAGGTCAAACTACTCGGAGTTGATAAAACCGTCTCAAATCAGGTGTTGTGAAACCGGAAACTCAGAGTTTCCTAACTCAGAGTAGATCAACTCAGAGTTAAGGATTTAACTCAGAGTTTGTTGAACCACCTACGTGAAACGGACCCCAGAAGAGTACAGCCTTATGTGCATGATAATAATACTGGTAATAGTGGCTCACCTCAGCAAACTTCAAGTAAGAATTGATATGATAGGAGGAGTATTTAACCTTTTGCTGCCATCTAGCTGTAGTTTTGTAGATTGCAACAACTTTACCGTGGAGCCTCGCCTCTCCTTTTCTGTTGTGTTAGAACCTACCCCCTGGTGGCAGTTAAAACTTCTGTGAGAAAAAAATATCTTTTTTTCAGCCTTGAGAAGTATAAAATTGCAACATGGTTTACTTTGTGGCTATACAGCACATAAATCCGTTCTTTTTTCACATATCATGCTTTCTCTAAGGCTTCATTTCTAAGTGATTACACACACATGGATATAAACATACAAATAAATAGTGAAGTCAATTTCTGCCAGTAATGGCTCCAAAATCCTCCCAAACTGAAACCTTTGGCTTTTGAACCAACAGCACTGTTAGGCACCTACAGGCATGCTGCCAGGGATTTAAGTCCCCATATGATGTTCAAATTACCTAACACTAGAGGAGGAAAAGAGGCTTGTTTTACTTCAACCTCAGCAGTTTTCCTCACAGCACCTTTCCTAAACTCACTTTCCATTAAGAGAAACTGGATAGCACACAGTTGGTCTTTTTTTGTACCTCCTTCTGTCTTTCTTTTCTTTTACAGGTGCACTGTTGCACTCCTCATATGGGCTATGAATGGATAACCTACCTTAATTTCTTCTCATGGTGATTGCAAGGTTTTTTCCATTTAAGCTGCCACATTTGTTGACATTCATCAAGTGTATTTTAATTTCATAGTTTGATCAATGTCCTGTTTGTTAATGTGATTGAGGCTGAGTTTATGACCTATACTGCAGCAAGCCAGCAGGGGGAGCTCTGAATCTTCGGGCTTCAGTGAGCACATACTGCCTCCTTTTTAATATACACCCTGAAGTGAACTATTTACTTGAGATTTTGGGTCAGACTTACCAATTTTGGAGGGTGGGTCAACAAAAGAAAAAGATACTGTTCTGTTTATCAGTACATTGGCAAGAAAATTCCCACTCGTGTGTTTTCATATATAAATATCATATTGTATCCTTAAGGGCCCCTGCCAATCATCCCAACTTTTCTTACTATATACATTTTTTGGTAGCTTGAAGTCCTTTGCTGCCCTCGCTATTGTTAAGACAGCTGAATGAAAATTATGCCTGGAAAAAATTGACCCACCCACAGTACAAAAATAAGACTAAATGCTTGTGAAAGTGTGCAGACCTGGGCAACACAGGTGCCCTTACCAAAGCTTAGCACATAAACACACACACACACAAAAAAAAACACTTGACATTTCAAAGATTTTGTATTCTGATCATTGCAAAATTTATGACAGAGAATGTACAAACTTTGGTTCTCACAGAATACAACAATGCAAGACATAAAAATAGGCCATAATAGTCTATAAAATATATTTTTCCTTATATTGTTTCATATTTCATTAGTATTAAGTATTAAAACATCCTTAAAAATACTTAAAGCAATGGCCCAAGGTTTGGGGAATATATTTCCTGGTAAGGTAGATATGTTCCTTCATGTAATTTATCCTTCATCTAATACTTTGTTTATTGAGCTCCCATGTTGCTACGTGGCAGGTTACTTCATGTTGGCATCTTGATGCATCTGTACAAATTATGAAGCCCTTTTTTTAATTGATGATGAATGCCTTCACAGTAAGTTTTGCATGTAGTCAACTGCATGAATCACTAGCAATGTCTCATTGTCTCAAACATATTTGACTTTAAAAAAGAGCTAAAACTGCTTTAAACTCAACACTTATAAATTCTAGTGAGTCATGGTTTAAACATCGTTTTTATACAAAAATAGAGAAGGTAATATTACTACAAGTTATTTGGTTAAATACAGTTCTCAGTGAAACCATTAAAAGGGTATTTTTAAACTTGTGCCCCCAGAGCTTTAAAGAAAGTATATCTAGATTAATTTGTATACAATTAACTTGGCTTAGTGTTTTAAGTAAGTCACACCATTCTGTTTGGACCAGGATCCCTGACACTCCAACAGACACATGTTCAGTTTCTGCAGACATACTCCGTCCATTGTGATAAGGACAAGTGGAATTACATACTTAGCTCATCCAAAGTATGTTGGAGATCATCATGAATGTTGGATAAACCAAAAGCAGAGTCCTTCTCACACCAGCACTGACCATCATGCTCTGATGGGCATTAAAAAGTCAGCACTGATGCTAGTGCTGGTTTGACAGAAGCCATGACAGCAGTACCATGCAGAACGCAGTGATGAGACTGATGCTGTGGCTTACTCCATTTGCGGTTATCATTATAGCTGTAAATGAGTGGAAAGTACAATGAAGCTTTAGTAAAAGAATTATGTATACTTCAAAATATACTTCAAAACATTTTCAACAAGCAGCACATTATATTCCTTACTTATGCCATTCACAGTGATAGAGTTTGTTTCTATGTCAAAGCCAGAAACAGTGGAAGACGCATTGAAAAACACTGCTCCAATCTCGTTGCCACTTGGAACTGATGTGCTAATAAAGCCCATCTGCAGCTGGTTGATAATTGATCCTGATCTGTGGGGACAAAAGGAAACATAATTGCTCCACATACAAGATCAGGCAACTTATTGTAATTTGTAATATGGTCTCTCCCAAAAATTACCTGTATGCTGTCACATCAATGGTTTTAAATGAGTCGAATGCCTTCTGAAACAAAGGTTTAAGCTGCCAAAACAGAAAATAAATTGTATTATACATTTCTTCTGTCATTTAAAAATGCCTTTCCACGTGTAAGGTACTTTGACTAACTTGACCTTTTATTTGTGGACAGTCTGAGGCAAGATTATCCCATTTTCCTCATAATTTGCATGATTTACTGTGGACTAGTTCACCTTTTTAAGGACAGGGGAAACAAGCTATACTTGGTTCCTCAATAGCTTTTCAGAGTTTGGAAACAAATTATGTTTTGAGGTCTTTATCTCTGATCAAGCAATTATGACTATGTATCAGTCATATAACATGCTATAAGTGGTAGACTGAGAGTTAGACAAAAGTTTTGTTTCTATGCCAAAATCTGGATGATCAAAGTCCAAATAGCACCCTTTTTCTTTATAAACAGATCCATGGTAAGTCTTCTTGTCCCCCACTGTTTTGTAAAGAGAAGCAAGACCAAGCAAATAATCTTAATCTTTCCTAATTCACAAGACACAATCACAAGTACAGTTAAGGTTTAGAGTATGAGGTCTTAGTCCAACAATTAAGTTCCTTGGGTACAAAGTTGAGCTTCTGTATAAAGTAAAGGGTGTACCAGTTGTTTCTGTGGTGATGTCTGAGACTTACCTGTGATATTATTAATTGTGAACGTTTTTGAGCAGCTGCAGATGATAGATTCCCCAAATCACTTGTGAAATTCTGCTGAAGGGATCTGAAACTTGCATTAACGAGTTTAATTCCAGTAGTTGTGGGCGCAGCAGTGGCAGGTGTGGCAGTTGTATTTGCATCTGGAACTGGACCCTCTATTCATATAGTTTTTTTTTTTTAGAAATAAAGTAATGATTGTTTTATTTAATCGACAATAGTTCCAGATTCACAGTCTTAATGAGAATGTGCAGGATATACATCTTGTTTTGTTTACTCACCCTGGACTATAAAAGAACTGGCAACAAAGCTACTGTTGGTATTACTTGCAGCTTCTATGAAGGTCTCAGCAACAAGGGAATTTGTTGGAAGATCTGAGGCTGTGGTGTTTTGATTGAAGATGACAGCCATTTCTGTACCAACACCATCATTTCGTGTTGTCACAGGTCTGTATAATGAAACCAATGGAACATCAGGCAGTTGTGTTGTTAAGAGTGACACTAACAATGTATATAAGAAAGTCATTATCATATTTATAAGGCAAGGTCAGTTAATAGAGTTAAAAAGATTTATTTACCTAAACCTTATCAATAGACACCTCAAAAATAGATTCCCAAAGGTCTTTCTGTAAACTCTATCACACTGTAAAAAAATAAGAAAAACACCCAAGGAAAAGTGACATTAGGATTAAATCCATTGTTTGAATCAATCTCTCTTAAAAATTTGTGCATAAAACTGATGTTAAATAAAACTTTGGAAATACTTACTTCATCCTCAGATTCTCTTTTAAGGTCTTTAAATTTAAGGCTTTCTGGATTTTCCAGATCAGCTGTAAAGATTACACCTCTTAATATAGCAAAAAGTTTATACTGTGGAGCAGCTGTAGCTGTTGAAGCAACTTTAGTTGTTTTAATAGTTGTGGCTGGTGCAGCTGTTGAAGCAGCTTTAGTTGATTTAGCAGCTGTAGCTGTTGAAGCAGCTGTAGTTGTTTTAATAGTTGTGGCTGGTGCAGCTGTTGAAGCAGCTTTAGTTGATTTAGGAGCTGTAGCTGTTGAAGCAGCTTTAGTTGTTTTAATAGTTGTGGCTGGTGCAGCTGTTGAAGCAGCTTTAGTTGATTTAGCAGCTGTAGCTGTTGAAGCAGCTGTAGTTGTTTTAATAGTTGTGGCTGGTGCAGCTGTTGAAGCAGCTTTAGTTGATTTAGCAGCTGTAGCTGTTGAAGAAGCTGTAGTTGATTTAGTAACTGTGGTCGTAATGGTGGTTGTAGGGGTGGTTGTTGTGGTTGTTGGAGTGGATGTAATAATTGTTGTTGCTGGTGTTGTTACTGTTGTGGTTCTTCGAGCAGCTGTTGTTTTTGTTGTTGTTGGGACAGCTATCGTTGTTGTTGTTGGGGCAGCTGTTGTTGTTGCTTGAGAGGTTGTTGTGGTTGTTGGATTAGTTGTGGTGGTTGTTGTAGCGGTTGTTGTTGTGGGTGTTGGAGCAGCTGTTGTGGTTATTGGCTTAGTTGTTGTGGGTGTTGTAGCAGCTGTTGTTGTGGTTGTTGAAACAGTTGTGGTGGTTGTTGTAGGGGTGGTTGTTGTGGGTGTGGTTGTGGTTGTTGGAGCAGCTGTTTTTGTTGTTGTTGGGGCAGCTGTTGTCGTTGCTTGAGAGGTTGTTGTGGTTGTTGGATTAGTTGTTGTGGTTGTTGTTGTAGGGATGGTTGTTGATGTTGGAGTAGCTGTTGTGGTTTCTGAAGTGGTTGTAATGGTTGTTGTAGGCGTGGTTCTTGTTGTTGGAGTAGCTGTTGTGGTTTTTGAAGTGGTTGTAATGGTTGTTGTAGGGGTTGTTGCTGGAGTGGATGTAATAATTGTTGTTGTTGATGTTGTTACTGTTGTGGTTGTTGAAGCAGCTGCTGTTGTTGTTGGGGGAGCTGTTGTTTTTGTTGTTGTTGGGGCAGCTGTTGTTGTTGTTGTTGTTGTTGGGGCAGGTGTTGTTGTTGTTGTTGTTGTTGTTGGGGCAGTTGTTGTTGTTGTGGTGTTGTTGTTGTTGGGGCAGGTGTTGTTGTTGGGGCAGGTGTTGTTGTTGTTGTTGGGGAAGGTGTTGTTGTTGTTGTTGTTGTTGGGGCAGGTGTTGTTGTTGTTGTTGGGGCAGGTGTTGTTGTTGTTGTTGGGGAAGGTGTTGTTGTTGTTGTTGTTGGGGCAGGTGTTGTTGTTGTTGTTGGGGCAGGTGTTGTTGTTGTTGTTGTTGGGGCAGGTGTTGTTGTTGTTGGGGCAGGTGTTGTTGTTGTTGTTGGGGCAGGTGTTGTTGTTGTTGTTGTTGTTGTTGTTGGGGAAGGTGTTGTTGTTGTTGTTGTTGGGGAAGGTGTTGTTGTTGGTGTGGTTGTGGTTGTTGGAGCAGCTGTAGTTGTTGTTGGGGGAGCTGTTGTTTTTGTTGTTGTTGGGGCAGCTGTTGTTGTTGTTGTTGTTGTTGTTGTTGTTGGGGCAGGTGTTGTTGTTGTTGTTGTTGTTGTTGGGGCAGGTGTTGTTGTTGGGGCAGGTGTTGTTGTTGTTGGGGCAGGTGTTGTTGTTGTTGTTGGGGCAGGTGTTGTTGTTGTTGTTGGGGAAGGTGTTGTTGTTGTTGTTGTTGTTGGGGCAGGTGTTGTTGTTGTTGTTGGGGCAGGTGTTGTTGTTGTTGTTGGGGAAGGTGTTGTTGTTGTTGTTGTTGGGGCAGGTGTTGTTGTTGTTGTTGTTGGGGCAGGTGTTGTTGTTGTTGTTGTTGTTGGGGCAGGTGTTGTTGTTGTTGGGGCAGGTGTTGTTGTTGTTGTTGGGGCAGGTGTTGTTGTTGTTGTTGTTGTTGTTGGGGAAGGTGTTGTTGTTGTTGTTGTTGGGGAAGGTGTTGTTGTTGGGGCAGGTGTTGTTGTTGTTGTTGTTGTTGTTGGGGCAGGTGTTGTTGTTGTTGTTGTTGGGGCAGGTGTTGTTGTTGTTGTTGGGGAAGGTGTTGTTGTTGTTGTTGGGGAAGGTGTTGTTGTTGTTGTTGGGGCAGGTGTTGTTGTTGTTGTTGGGGCAGGTGTTGTTGTTGTTGGGGAAGCTGTTGTTGTTGTTGTTGTTGGGGCAGGTGTTGTTGTTGTTGTTGGGGCAGGTGTTGTTGTTGTTGTTGGGGAAGGTGTTGTTGTTGTTGTTGTTGTTGTTGGGGAAGGTGTTGTTGTTGTTGTTGTTGTTGTTGTTGTTGTTGTTGGGGAAGGTGTTGTTGTTGTTGTTGGGGCAGGTGTTGTTGTTGTTGTTGTTGTTGTTGGGGCAGGTGTTGTTGTTGTTGGGGCAGGTGTTGTTGTTGTTGTTGTTGTTGTTGTTGGGGAAGGTGTTGTTGTTGTTGGGGCAGGTGTTGTTGTTGTTGTTGTTGTTGGGGCAGGTGTTGTTGTTGTTGTTGTTGTTGTTGGGGCAGGTGTTGTTGTTGTTGTTGTTGGGGAAGCTGTTGTTGTTGTTGTTGGGGCAGGTGTTGTTGTTGTTGTTGGGGCAGGTGTTGTTGTTGTTGTTGGGGCAGGTGTTGTTGTTGTTGTTGTTGGGGCAGGTGTTGTTGTTGTTGTTGTTGTTGTTGGGGAAGGTGTTGTTGTTGTTGTTGGTGCAGGTGTTGTTGTTGTTGGGGCAGGTGTTGTTGTTGTTGTTGTTGGGGCAGGTGTTGTTGTTGTTGTTGGGGAAGCTGTTGTTGTTGTTGGGGCAGTTGTTGTTGTTGTTGTTGGGGAAGGTGTTGTTGTTGTTGTTGTTGTTGTTGGGGCAGGTGTTGTTGTTGTTGTTGTTGTTGTTGGGGAAGGTGTTGTTGTTGTTGGGGAAGCTGTTGTTGTTGTTGTTGGGGTAGGTGTTGTTGTTGTTGGGGATGGTGTTGTTGTTGTTGTTGTTGTTGGGGCAGGTGTTGTTGTTGTTGTTGTTGGGGCAGGTGTTGTTGTTGTTGTTGGGGAAGCTGTTGTTGTTGTTGTTGTTGGGGCAGCTGTTGTTGTTGTTGGCGTAGCTGTTGTTGTTGTTGTTGGGGCAGGTGTTGTTGTTGTTGAGGCAGCCGTTGTTGTTGTTGTTGGGGAAGGTGTTGTTGTTGTTGGGGCAGCTGTTGTTGTTGTTGTTGGGGCAGCTGTTGTTGTTGTTGTCGGGGCAGGTGTTGTTGTTGTTGGGGAAGCTGTTGTTGTTGTTGTTGTTGTTGGGGCAGCTGTTGTTGTTGTTGTTGTTGGGGCAGGTGTTGTTGTTGTTGGGGCAGGTGTTGTTGTTGTTGTTGTTGTTGGGGCAGGTGTTGTTGTTGTTGTTGGGGCAGGTGTTGTTGTTGTTGTTGGGGCAGGTGTTGTTGTTGTTGGGGAAGCTGTTGTTGTTGTTAATGTTGGGGCAGGTGTTGTTGTTGTTGTTGGGGCAGGTGTTGTTGTTGTTGTTGGGGAAGGTGTTGTTGTTGTTGTTGTTGTTGTTGGGGAAGGTGTTGTTGTTGTTGTTGTTGGGGCAGCTGTTGTTGTTGTTGTTGTTGGGGCAGGTGTTGTTGTTGTTGGGGCAGGTGTTGTTGTTGTTGTTGTTGTTGGGGCAGGTGTTGTTGTTGTTGTTGGGGCAGGTGTTGTTGTTGTTGTTGGGGCAGGTGTTGTTGTTGTTGGGGAAGCTGTTGTTGTTGTTGTTGTTGGGGCAGGTGTTGTTGTTGTTGTTGGGGAAGGTGTTGTTGTTGTTGTTGGGGCAGGTGTTGTTGTTGTTGTTGTTGGGGCAGGTGTTGTTGTTGTTGTTGTTGTTGTTGTTGGGGAAAGTGTTGTTGTTGTTGGGGCAGGTGTTGTTGTTGTTGTTGTTGTTGGGGCAGGTGTTGTTGTTGTTGTTGTTGTTGTTGGGGCAGGTGTTGTTGTTGTTGTTGTTGGGGAAGCTGTTGTTGTTGTTGTTGGGGCAGGTGTTGTTGTTGTTGTTGGGGCAGGTGTTGTTGTTGTTGTTGGGGCAGGTGTTGTTGTTGTTGTTGTTGGGGCAGGTGTTGTTGTTGTTGGGGAAGGTGTTGTTGTTGTTGTTGGGGCAGGTGTTGTTGTTGTTGGGGCAGGTGTTGTTGTTGTTGTTGTTGGGGCAGGTGTTGTTGTTGTTGTTGGGGAAGCTGTTGTTGTTGTTGGGGCAGTTGTTGTTGTTGTTGTTGGGGAAGGTGTTGTTGTTGTTGTTGTTGTTGTTGGGGAAGGTGTTGTTGTTGTTGGGGAAGCTGTTGTTGTTGTTGTTGGGGCAGGTGTTGTTGTTGTTGGGGAAGGTGTTGTTGTTGTTGTTGTTGTTGGGGCAGGTGTTGTTGTTGTTGTTGTTGGGGCAGGTGTTGTTGTTGTTGTTGGGGAAGCTGTTGTTGTTGTTGTTGTTGGGGCAGCTGTTGTTGTTGTTGGCGTAGCTGTTGTTGTTGTTGTTGGGGCAGGTGTTGTTGTTGTTGAGGCAGCTGTTGTTGTTGTTGTTGGGGAAGGTGTTGTTGTTGTTGGGGCAGCTGTTGCTGTGGTTGAGCTAGCCTGAGTTGTGGTTTTTGCAGATTTTGTAGTGGATGGTGCACCTGTCATTGTGGTTGAACTAGCCTTAGTTATGGTTGGTGTAGCTGTTGAAACAGTTGTTGATGTGGCTGGGGTAGCTGTAGTTGAGATGGAGCCAGCTGTAGTTGTAGTTTTTGCTTCTTTTGTAGTGCTTGGTGCAGCTGTTGTTTTGGTTGAAACAGTTGTTGATGTGGTTGATGCATCTGTTGTTCTGGCATCTGTGGCTGAAGTGGTGGTTGTGGCAGCTTTTGAGGTTGATGGTGCAGCTGTAGTTGTGGGTGGTGCAGTTGTTGTTGCGGCTGGTGTAGCTGTTGTAGTCATTGAAACAGTTGTTGGTGTGGTTGGGGCAGCTGTAGTTAAGGTGGGGGCAGCTGCAGTTGTGGTTTTTGCTTCTTTTGTAGTTGTTGGTGCAGCTGTAGTGGTTGTTGGTGCATTTGTTGTAGTAGTTGAAATAGTTGTTGATGTGGGTGGTGCAGTTGTTGTTGCGGCTGGTGTAGCTGTTGTAGTCATTGAAACAGTTGTTGGTGTGGTTGGGGCAGCTGTAGTTAAGGTGGAGGCAGCTGCAGTTGTGGTTTTTGCTTCTTTTGTATTTGTTGGTGCAGCTGTAGTGGTTGTTGGTGCATTTGTTGTAGTAGTTGAAATAGTTGTTGATGTGGTTGGTGCAGTTGTTGTTGCGGCTGGTGTGTCTGAAGTGGTGGTAATTGCAGCTGATGTTGTGGTTGAGCTGGCTGTAGTTGTGGTTGGTGTGGCTGTAGTTCTGGTTTGTGCAACTTTTGTTGTGGTTTGCATAGCTGTAGTGGTGGTTGGTGCTTCTGTAGTTGCTGTTGAAACACTTGATGATATTGTTGGTGCAGCTGTTGCTGTGGTTGAGCTAGCCTGAGTTGTGTTTTTTGCAGATTTTGTAGTGGATGGTGCACCTGTCATTGTGGTTGAACTAGCCTTAGTTATGGTTGGTGTAGCTGTTGAAACAGTTGTTGATGTGGCTGGGGTAGCTGTAGTTGAGATGGAGCCAGCTGTAGTTGTAGTTTTTGCTTCTTTTGTAGTGCTTGGTGCAGCTGTTGTTTTGGTTGAAACAGTTGTTGATGTGGTTGATGCATCTGTTGTTCTGGCATGTGTGGCTGAAGTGGTGGTTGTGGCAGCTTTTGAGGTTGATGGTGCAGTTGTAGTTGTGGGTGGTGCAGTTGTTGTTGCGGCTGGTGTAGCTGTTGTAGTCATTGAAACAGTTGTTGGTGTGGTTGGGGCAGCTGTAGTTAAGGTGGAGGCAGCTGCAGTTGTGGTTTTTGCTTCTTTTGTAGTTGTTGGTGCAGCTGTAGTGGTTGTTGGTGCATTTGTTGTAGTAGTTGAAATAGTTGTTGATGTGGTTGGTGCAGTTGTTGTTGCGGCTGGTGTGTCTGAAGTGGTGGTAATTGCAGCTGATGTTGTGGTTGAGCTGGCTGTAGTTGTGGTTGGTGTGGCTGTAGTTCTGGTTTGTGCAACTTTTGTTGTGGTTTGCATAGCTGTAGTGGTGGTTGGTGCTTCTGTAGTTGCTGTTGAAACACTTGATGATATTGTTGGTGCAGCTGTTGCTGTGGTTGAGCTAGCCTGAGTTGTGGTTTTTGCAGATTTTGTAGTGGATGGTGCACCTGTCATTGTGGTTGAGCTAGCCTGAGTTGTGGTTGGTGTAGCTGTTGAAACAGTTTTTGATGTGGCTGGGGTAGCTGTACTTGAGGTGGAGCCAGCTGTAGTTGTAGTTTTTGCTTCTTTTGTAGTGCTTGGTGCAGC